TAACAAAAATTATTTAACAACTAAAAGTAAAATGCTTTAAAATGTATACGTCAGGTATTATATATCATAAATATTTAAATATTTCGGGACACATTTTTACACCAAGTTTTCTAATCCAAAACTAATTATCGCTTGTATTATGGGTGCTAGATAACTGATAAATATACCTTTTTTTAATTTTTTTTTTAGTAAATGGCCTTTTTTTGTAAATGAACATATAACAAATATATAAATACCCAGACACTGGAAAAACACTTTGCTCATCATTTAATATTCTTCCAGTAAGGTGGATAGAACCCATACCCTCTGGCGCAAGAGGCAGGGTTACCCGTTACCCCGACCGCTCCCCATTACCCCAATCGAGTCGTCTAATGAATATTACTATATTAATTCTTACTGTTTTTACTCGACGTCGGTAACAGAGAAAAACGTATTTGACGACCGCAAAAGGCAGTGAATCTGTTATGAAAAAAATAAAGGATAATTAGTGTTTTGTCTAAAATTAATTTTGCATAAAACCTTTTACACACGAGGTTTTTCTAAACGAGGTCTGCCAGTGGTACAGCCACGCGATAGTCTTCGCTGTTGCAAGAATGGGCAGGTCCGTCCGAGTGGCGATAGTCTTCGCTGTTGCAGGTCCGTCCAAGTGCCAAGACCTTGACCGGCGTGAAGTTAAGTGATATACTTCTGCGATAAGTCTAGTGAGTAAGGTAACCGGAACCCACTTTATTAGAAAATGCATTTGCAATCCTAAGGGGTGTTGCAAATGTCCATGGGCGGTGGTTATCCTTAAAATCAGGTGAACCTCGAGCTGGCCGATACAGCTTTACCTTGAAACTATTCTTAATAACCGGAAACAAAACTCAATAGAAACATCTTTACGCAATAAAGACAATGACACGTGTGTAATATACGAGTTTAGTGTTAATGAAACTGTACCAAAATTGTTTTTCGACAACATGTTCAATCTTAAAAGTTTATTTCCATATTACTTAATATTAAAATGGGCTTGCCCGATACACTCGGCTGCATTGTTCGCTTGTTAATATCATTGTTTCGAATATAATACTGAATGGCCCAATCAATCAGTATTAATTAAATGCTTCGTACAATATCAATGCATTCGAATCAACTGGGAAGTGGAATTCGTGAAATTGTTAAAAATCCTACAGAAATTTGTCGAGTTATAAAAGTGCAATCTATATTTGTACATCTGTTAAAGCTCGGGTGAAGGAAAACAACGCGAATAATTTGACAATCTTTTGAAAAATGTTGAAAAGTAGACATATGTTTGAACCATAATTCGCCCTTTTTAAAATTTTTAGTGTGCTTATCTCTGCGCTTAAGATGAAATATTAAAAAATGTGTACAAAAAGTACGAATCATTTTATGCCGATGTGAATCGAACCCATGTCTTCGATTTTGCCCAGATGCTTTAAGCACTAAGCTAAACGGCTGATCGCCGCACGGATGAAAATCGCAACGTCTTATAAGGGCCCGAACTTTTCAAGGTTGTCAACACATCGACAAGCCATCGTGTATTGTTGATATGCCATGGGTGGTGGTATTTATTAACACCAGGTGAACCGCCTGCTCTATTGGCAACTTTTCACATAAAAAAAGAAAGTGTTATTGATAACCGGCCCAAGGTTTTCTTGACCACTTAAGAACACATTGGTCTACTCCTCAGATAAATTAACACAGCAGTATTTATAAGTCTATGTAGTAGAATCTAGACTAATAAACTCAACTGTCATAACACTGTTCAAGGAATTAATTAAAGACGCTATAGTAGCGGAGCATTGTTTAACGTTTCGCGATGAAATACGTGTTATGTTATACAGCTATCTTATGAGCTCGCAATTTCGTACACCCCGCGCTAAATGTCGCAAGTATGCATGACATATGCACACGTTTCCTTTGAGTTTATGTGTGAAAATTGTCTCCATTACTTGGGTATTTCATTGCGTTTAACAGACAAAACAATTGTTTTTCGTTGTAACACAAACACTATTTCCATGAAGACTGTTATCTTGTTTCTCTCAATTAAGACATTTCTAGTTGCTGTTCTATGTTAAAAGTTGGTAAACGAGCAGACGGTTCACTTGATGTTGAATGATTACCACCGCCCAAAGATATATACAACACCTGACGGGTTGCAGATGTGTTGCTAACATTAAAAAAGTGGTCCCTGGTTATCTAAGTCACCAAACTTACTACTTATATTATACTTCCACTTTACCGCGATCTTCTGTGTGTAAACATTTGTGCAACAGCCGAAGTTGCCCTGCCACAAACAAATCTTCTAAAGTTAATATATCTCCGCTTTAAGATATCAGTAGTCTAGTCGAATAAGTACCGTTTTAAATTATTTGACGTTAGCTTGTAGATGTAAATTTTATACACAAAGGATACACAATAGAAAGTCTTAAAAATAAATGAATATTTTATATGAATCTAAATAAAGGGATGAAATAAAAGGCCAAATTAGAAATATAAAGGACAGTTTTATTTAACGATTCGGTACAATGTCATACTAAAACGTATACATTTGAAATGAACTAGATACATTCAATATTTGGTTAAAGTAAAAGTAATGAAATAGATACCATTGTGCGTATACACGTCTAAATTTCAAACAAAATTCTAATCAATCAAATAACAGTCAAGTTTCTACATAAAATATTCAAATACGCACTAAAGTACTGATTTTGTTACACATTTCTTTTTTATTCTAATCAAATAATTAAATACATTGCTTGATAAAATGAACCCAATGTTCATGTAATACGACAGCGTCACGCTACTCTCAATAGAATATAAATAAAATTTTTGAAAGTTTTCCGTTGCTTTCACTAACGCAACATTCGATAAATTCACGAATGTGACATAGATACGAGAACCAATCATACATTGGCTGTTTCTAAAGTGCCTCGTTACGTTAAGCACCATACTCGTAAAACTATAAAGCTTGCTTCGGTGAGATAAATCGTTGTACATCTACACTATCCGTAATAGGTATTGGAATAAATACGCCATATAAAATAATACCCGTAATATCGCTATTTGCGCGTCTATTTGTTCAGATAATCTATGACCATTGGATCGCTTTTGCGGTGAACTCATCCTATGCAATTAGCGATCCTATCCATTTCAAATTCACTGCAATATTAAAAAACTGTTTTTTAAAAGACAAAATTGTGGATATAAGGAGTGCGTTATTCTCAGGTAGTTATTTATAATTTGGCACCAAACAAGGTTTTATCATTAAAATTACAAACAGTATCAAGATAAAAATATGATTAGGTAAGCCTGTTGGTAACAATTCAATTGCATCATCATTTACCAATTTAGAAATCATTTCAAGAAGCTAATCAAGATAAGTTCACGTCAATTTTCTTTTTTAAATTTAAAAATTTTACCCCCAAGTCGCCTTTATAACCAATATAGGGCTCAGGTTCAACAAGAAGTTATCAGGACTAATATGTCATTCAAGATAATAAAATTGAACTGGGTTGCATTGATAACTTTCCTATTTTTTATGCAACAACAATTATCCGCCTCTATTTAAGATTTAATATACACCAAGTAAATATTTTTTATAAATAAACATAAGAAAAAGAATAAAAACAGCTTATCGCAAGTTATTAAAAACGACTATAAAACCTTCGACGCGCTCCGTACGGGACCTACGGATTTTTTGTTAGCATCTTCCTATTAATCACTCACTGAATGATGAAACAATAAACATAAGTCACGTGCTTTACAGCCGATGGTAAAACTCAGTAATAAAAAACATCTCAGGGATGCAAACATATCTAAGGAGCATACAAAATATTTCAAAATGTAGTAAAGTCCACAATTCACACAGGCATCATGTGATGAATCGTATGCATTTGAACGCCAGTAGAGCATAGGCTGTTTTATTTCTTATTACCTACTACTATCGATGCATAAGGATTTCAGGAATTGATGTAGAACAGTATGACCTAGGCAAGTTTTCATTAAAAAAATACAACTTATATCTTGCTTATTTACAGTGTTTGACAATTGGCCTTCTACATTACTGAATGCTTAAAGTATCTTCTAACATTCGTTAATTCAACTAATTTATTTTTATCACTATTAACATAATACTGTACGCAATCAAGTCACCATACGATCATCTCACTCTATTTTTACGCTTATCACTAAAAGGATTCAGATGTGAAAAATAATCACAATACTTAAAACATTGAAAGAAATAATTGTGTAAAGTGAGGTGCGTGAAATTTTACACAATTTAACAAGAGACCTACAACCGTTGATGATTCAAAATGCATTTGTTACGTTTAAATTATAAAAATAACCGTTACAGTGCTGCTGACACGCCCGTTTTTGGACAGAATAAAATTCATCCCACAATTGAACTGCAGCCGTTAAATCAAACGGTTGATAAATTTTGCAAAAATATAACATAGAACGTCATATGACCATGATTTATTACAGCTCACCGCGCATTAGTTAGCGACTGTATAGCATTGCAATATAACGCCTCCGTGATAAAATAGAATTCATTTCAAATCGCTGAATGGTTTTACTTTTAAAGACTAATTTAAAATCCGAAATTTATATTAAACAATTCGAAGTCAATAAATGCTTAAAAAAATATACATGCCTTTTTTTATTTCACTAATAACCATACCCACATTCCAACATAATATACTACAAAATTAATTGCGTCACAAAGAAACATCTAATAATAAATAATAGTTAACTGTTGAAACCTAAAATATTTACTCTAAATTACATAATTAATGTTTATATTTACACACATTTTACATATACGATGATCGTAAACTTACAGAATGTATTAAAATACAGATTAAGTGTGGTTCGATTTCAAAAAGAGATAAAATAACATTGTAGAAGCTTCTGGCAGTGGTTTTTATAAATCGGTGAGCCTAGATAAAAAATACGGCACGATGGATGTTATTAAGAATTATACAAGTCAACTTTCAAGGGTCTGTCTGTGTCTCCATATCACCCACGTTACTTGCGAGTTCCGTTTCTCGTTGATCTAACTCGCTATGACTGGAGACTTCATCAGCTGTAATTAAAGAAAAAAATTGATAACATTATTCTGTGTTGTAAGGACGTTTTACAAATATAAATTGCACGAGGACAAACACCTAGATGCGAAACAACTTTCTGTGGGTCGCACAAATAGTTACCCCGTGTGGGAATCGAACCCACGACCCCCGACGCCGAAGCCGATACATCGGCAACTGCGCCACGGATTCATCAAAAAGATTAATTATTTTTTTCTTATTGCGTACGTTCTACGCCTTACCGTGAGGCCTGGTGTCCAGCGCAAGTACTGCCAACGGGGTATCGTCCAAAACACCGGACCATCTGGCTGCCAATACCCTCGATCCCCTGTGACCGCGCACCACCACAGTTGGCATCACACTCTGGCTAAGGGAGGAGCCCCCATACATAGACACTCCCACACTCCTACGTAGTATAGTGCTGAAAGAAAAATTTATGGAAATGTATCGAGCACCCAACTTATAGGAATATGCTAGTTAGTAGATGCAGGTGACTCAGGATTGTGCTTCGTAGCACTTTGTGGGTCTACGAGCAGTAGGCAAAAATAAGCTGAGTAATGATGACGACTAATCAACAATATCTATACTACAAAGTATAGAGCGTGATGACATATTATAGCTCACAATCTTATAGTAAGGTCTATAAAATACTCAGCACTGGGAGTGTCGAAACAAGGATATGTATAACACGGCTCTTAACTGTCACAGGCTACAGGGCTTCAAATGATTACATGGTTTGAATTTCTTTTGTAATCAAAAAACTTTATTATTACAATAAAGCGAAAACTTCAATTGGACATGACGTTGCTGAATTAAATCCGAGGAGTCAAAAAATCATACTGAAATTTGTGACGCGAGATGTTTTATAAAAATAAGCAATGTGTATTTTTTTAGTAAGATTAATGCCAGGAAACTACTTTTCTTAACACGGTGTACAGTATGCACCATTCACTAGTTAACCTTATAGTTATATTTTATCTTTACTGCTAGTACCTCTCTTCAGGATCACGGCGTGGCCGGCCTTTCTTTTTGCACATTACGACCAATGCGACGCAAAGTGTTGTCAATATCGTTAGGAGGACAAGAGCGAGTGCTGCTCCTATTAATAACGCAACACTGTTGTCACCAGGCGACGATTGTGGTGGTGGCCCCGGCGTCATAGTTTGCAGAGATCCTGTTAAAAGTAAACAAGAGTATAACTGTCCCGCGTAATGTGGACACAGTTAATTTTCAACTTTTACCGAGATATTCGGTTTGAAATAATAAAAAAAAGTTTACACTTTAATTCTAAATTGAATAAATTTAAAATTCTGTCTTGTAATTTAATTTTTTTCAGTGATAATCTCTGCACTGCCGATGAAGTATTTAAGTAGAGAAAATAAAAACCACTAAGTTAAATGTCTGAGATTTTCGTCCATTCTCACGAATATTAAGATAATTTTTAATGTGTTCGTCTTAATCAAAAAATATTGAACTTTTGTGACAAAAGTATATTAGTTACCGTAATGGGTCAGAAAAGCCACTACTAGTTCTTTTCAACAAAGCAGAATTTCAGTTTATGTTGCCTGACAACTTAAATTACCTTTTTATAAAAAATATAGATTAAATCAGTAACATTGCTTCACTAACCTGGCCTATCTAAATCATCGGATGTCCGAATCGGAATGCTGTGCAACGCGGCTGGCCTCTGCGATCTACCACGGGGGGTTTCTGAATACACTAAAAACGTGTAGCGGCCGGGACTTAAAGCGTCAAGCGGGAACTGTGGTATGACGTCATTACTGGCGCGATAAACTGCTTCCGTAAGACCTCGCCCTGAAATACCCTGAAAAGAAATGGCTGTATTCTAAAAAGTAATCCACCATGGACAATTCATGTCAGTACGATTGTTTTATTTATCAAGGTTTGAGATTAGAAGTTATTTACAACTTAAATTTATCGGGGTACACAAAACAATCTACTTTTTGCCGAATCAATATCCAAAACGTAATTAGCAGTGAACTTGTCACTGAACATTAGGCGCATTTGATGAATATAAAATTATATGGATGATATATCCTTTCATGTATAACAGTTTTATTACGTGTAAAAAATTTCTGGTCATGAATAATTACAATGTTATGTAACATAACGACACTCCCAACAATAAAGGTAATGACAGTATTTGACATAGAATAATAGACCTATTTAATAAAGTACATGACAAAAGTCAAAATAGGGCTTTCTTTACACATAAGATACTCGTGCAGACAGCGTTCTTATTTATACACAAAACAATCATGTTGGTACAGCCTGTATCACATAGATTAAGAAGGAGAAAAGAAAGGTCGCGCAAATCAGCGTCACAACATGAAACCGTCACGATATGAAAATGGAAATGGCATTACTAGAAACATACCCTTTGCCATTTTTAAGCCATTTGCATTAAGCTATAGAATAAGTGAGTAGACTACCTGATATAGAATAGGCTAAATAGGCTAGGGGTTTTAGGGAGGCGTGATAGACTAGTGAGTATAAGCCAGAATAATCACTTCAACAGTGATTAACGCCATCTCACCTGGTCGTTCATAGCGTCGTCATGTGGGGGGGGGCGAATAGGTCAGACAGTATAGGGTTTATGCACAAGGGCGAATAGGCTAGACAGTATAAGCTAGAATAAGCACAGCAACAGTAGTCTACGCCGCGCTCAGCTCATCACTCATGGCGTCACGATCGAAGGGGGCGAATAGACTAGACAGTAGGGGGTGTATGTACAAAGGCGAATAGGCTAGAATAAGCACGGCAACAGGGGTCAACGCCGCGCTCACCTGGTCGCTCATGGCGTCGCCGTCGAGCTCGCTCGGCTGCGGCTCGTGGTGCCGTACCTCCAGCGCCTCCAAGATGAACCGCTGCGGCAGGCCACCATCGTGTCCAGGGTCGCAGCGCAGTAGGTCATCCTCGATCTCGCAGTTGCTCGGTGGTTCCGGGTAGGCTAGTGGATCGTGTCAATAATGATATCTTACAGTATCTGTTCCGAGTAGGCTGGTGGAACTAAAACTAAAGCTGGCTAAAAGATAAGATCTTACAGCATTTCTTTACTAATACTTTTAAATAAAGATAATTTTTCTCATCAACTGGTCAGACATAGCCTTCATGGGGGATAGAAATCATTTGTTTTGGTTCATTAATATTTGTATTATATGTATAGTCCTGTACAAGTTAGAATTATTATTAATTTTATGGTTGTATTTTAGACACGCAATTAAATAACCTAAAAAGAAACCTATGCTTAAGAATAATTTATCCTGAATTACTTCAGACACACAGACACTACTAAGTTCATCATCATCATCATCATTTTAGCCTGTTTGAGTCCACTGCTGAACATAGGCCTCTCCCTTAGTCTGCCACGAAGTAAGTAAGTAAGAAAGAAAGAAAGAAAGGCTGCCACTCGAGAACCTTTCTTCCCCAATGGTTATCAGTTCTACGAGCTATATGATCGGCCCATCGCCACATCAGCTTGCTAATCTTCTGAGCTATGTCGGTTATTAAGTTACTTAATGTTTATTTTATCCTCTTAGCGGATAAGAAAGGGTTTTTGCAAAATTTTTAATTTTAATAATAATAATAAATAATTTAACCTTTAACGTTCCCACATTAAAGGTTAAATTTGTATGTACGTAATACGTAATAAACAGTACGATTTTTTTTGAAGTTTAAAACATGAACATTTTTTTGCAGATACTTTTCAGGGATTTTGGATTCTCAAATTGCTTCCTATTGAAATTATGTGTAAAATAAAAATCAAGGAAAATCTGCTTCTTTTAGATGTCCAATTAGGTAATATGTACTTTTCCATTAGAAATGTTTCATTTGTTACAAATATCAACATACCTGCAGGCATGATTCTGAATAAGCACGGCTCTCGCTGATTACCCACGTCGTTACTCGCCCAGCAAGCGAGCCAGCCCAAGTCTTCTTCGTCACTGTTGGGCAGTCCGTGTACCACAGTGCTACTTGATCCCATTACGGTTATGTTAGATGCTGGTATCTGCCAATCAAGCACAGTACCATCGTTTATTCTGGCCATGAAAATATATCATCTCGTATCCACACAGCGTCCGACTTATCGATTTACATATTATAATAAAAATAGAACATTTTAATTGTTAAAATATGTAGAAAAAGTGCGAAAAGATTGTCGCCGCTGTGGGAATCGAACCCACGTCTTCGGCATTCGCGGCCTGACGCTCTAGCCACTGAGCTAAACGGCTGATTACCACACCGACGAAAATCTTAACGCATTCTTCCACATTGTTTTCTTAGCATTTGAAGCTATGCTTGGCGCCATCTATTGTTATATCCTTTCCAGCATACAAACAACTTCGAATATCGTTTTACAACGATAATTCGAACGAGAGATGTCGCCATTGCTTTTTTAGAAATTTAAATTGTTTATAGTGCAAAGATTAGCACTATAAACAATTTAAAAATTTTAATTGATTTACCATATTGTGTGTTTACGTTCTAGCTACTTAGTCCGTTGGTCATAAATTATATGTTAGAAAATATATTTTTATTAGTTTCCCGAGAGTGTTTAGTACATTCGATTCGAAGATAATTAAAATACGATGGAAGCAATATTTTTGCTGTGGTAGGGCCACGCACCCGTCTTGGCTGTTGCACGAATGGGCAAGCACGTCCAAGGAGGTATTACGACCTAACAGAAGACTGGCGTCAAGTAAAAGTGTTACACTTCTGCGTTTCGTGAGTGAGGTAACCGTGGAACACTTTATTAAAAGGTGGCAACGCATCTTCAACCCTACGGGTGTTGCTGACATCTAAGAGCTTCGCTTTCCACCTTGTCATTCCTTTTAAAACAAATGAAACTATAGAAGCAGACGCCCTTCCTTTATGTCACAATGTGGCAATCGACCTGGTGGTTCATGATCGACCATGATGTTACGTGATAACAGATGCTCGTGAACATCAGCAACGCGCGTAGGCTTGCGTTGCCACACTCACACAGAAAGCCCTGCCCTAGAAACTAGATATAGCCATTCGCATACCGGTAAGACATCCTTCGTGCTATTATACGTCCAGTAGAACCTTAGAGGTCCGGCGTCACGAGTGGAGGGTGCCGTTACAGAGCACCTCGCGCGGACCTCACCGCCGGGTGCGCCAGCGAGCTGCTGCACAACACCACCGGCTGAGCACTCGGGCCGAGCTGTGCAAGCCACATTTGAATAAACAACTATACAGCACAGGCTAGCACTGAAAATCAGCGCTGTGTTGGGGCCTTGACTTCCGGCATAGCATAATGCTGAGCTGCTAACCTAATTTACCGGAATAGGGCGTATGTACGCTATTTATGGTTTGTTAAAGTTCTTTATATTTGTTTATATTTTAATTATGTATTTGTGTTCTTTCGCTTTACTGAAATATTTATAAGTATTTTTTTGTTAATTTTAGTTTTTCTTTCTCTTTTATGGTGTGCGTCCTTGTTTTACTAAATTTATTTTCTTTCTTCTTCTTTCTTTCTTTATACAGGGTGGCTTTTCTAAAGGTGCCCAAATTCACACAGGAGGTTCACACTCGGTAGTATAATCGTTTATTGAAATAAAAACAATTTTTTTTTTAATTACCATTCTATTTCCCAAAAAAAAGAACTTGTTGACAACGCGGTAGTCAAAATCATAAAATCAAAATCAAAAATATATTTATTCACATAGACGCTTGCGCGTTCTTATGAAATGTCAAAAATTTTACGTAAAATCATAAATACATCATTTATAAATACCCAAATTTTACTGTTCACGCAAACAAACGAACTTGTGAGCGTGTTAGTTATGAATGATCGCGCGTAAAATAAATCAGTTGCGTATAAATCATGAACTTATTGAGATAAGTTCAAATGAATGTAATTAATTACAGTTAAAATATATATCATATATTACATAACATTATTTGTCCTGAATTTAATAAAAAAATGGATACTATTAGCCTCCCTGTATAAACTCTTATTCAACAAGAGTTATAGCGTACACGAATATTTAAGCTACTAACATATTATATTAATTTATTATATATTGTTAATTTTATGTTTATAAATGTCATCATCATCATCATATCCGCCGTAGTACGTCAACTGCTGAACATAGGCCTCCCCCATTGACATTAAATTATAAATTATAAAATTTAATTAACATTATAAATATAATAAAGTAACATGTATTTGTATTTTTAATGTTAATTCATTTAATGTTAATGTTGAGTCCCATCAATTTTTACTTTTGCTATTCCCTATCAGGGTCCATGATGATTCATAATGTTAAGTCTTTACTCCCTAAGCTACATTGTGGAATGCAAATAAAGAATCAGCTAAACTCGCTATGTGTTGATCATACGGAGTTTAGCTTAACGATGCCATAGTTAAGTACCGATGTATTCGTACAGCATATTTACTAAATACGAGCGGAGATCACTACTATTTTTCTACTTAAGTCTCCTCTATGTCTTAAAACCCATGATTATATAAGAAAAAAGAATCGACTCGCTTGGCGTGGGAATTAGTGAACCTGACTCTTGCTCCAGAAGGTATGGGCTTGATCCCCACCACTGGAAAAATGCTGTGTGCTGAACATAGTGTTTTTCCAGTGTCTATGTTTTTATATTATCATGTATAGGTAAGTATTTATTTACAAAATATGTTTATCGGTTTTCTAGTACACCCAGTACAAGCGTTGCATATTTTGGGGCTACAGAACGCTTTATAAAAATTTGTCTGAAAATATTTATTTATTTTACTTTTTTTTTTATAATAATGCGAAAAATCGTAGGCTTGTCACAGAGTATACATATGTGTTTTGTTGATATAAAATCGGAAAATGGTAAAGTTATGTGTATAAAACAGATTTTACAACTCTTGACTTTGGACCGGAAGTTTGACATACAAACTTGAATTGGTAGTAAAAATCATTGGAAAGTTTTTTAAACAATCCATTAGATAGGGTGCCCTTGGCAAAGAGAAATATCAGGAGTCTAGCTTTGATAGCATGCACTTTAACCGAGAATAAAGCGACGGAACGTTTTTAAAGGGGAAATTTATTTCAGCTCGGAATGAAATAGGAAATACTTACATAGCACATTCAAAGTAAGCGGTTCACTTAATCCGCTACCTTCGGAGTTTCTAGCTCTGCACCGGTATCTCTCGGAATGATGCCTCCTCAGACCTCTTAAAATAAGTTTATTCCCTTCCACAGAGATGCCTCCGACTGGATCGTCGTGAATAAGATGGTCCTACAAAATAAAAAATATTCTGGTACCATTTATAATTATATATATTTAATTATTCATTCATAAATGTATTTCACACAATTCAGAGATTATTAAATTCAGAGATCTTTATACAGTGTATATAGCATAACTAGGTATGCCTGTTAATTAGTGTAGTTATTGCAGTGTGATTAATGCAGTGTTTATAGCATCACTATGCTTGTTAATTAGTCTTCGATTGAGGTGTGCGTAGTTTACTTTAGTGTAGTTTTATTATCACCTCTAGGCCTTTGTAAAACGTGAAATTGTTTGCCGGGGGCGACGCTTCCGATGAGCACATTAAAGTTGCATCCTCGTCTTCGCGCAGTAAGTTGAGCTCTTTCGGAGATATAAGAGATATCTGGGCAACAGGCGCATCTGTGAGGAATAAGTGTCGTCCAATTATATTTCCAACAAATCCCTAATTAAAGGCCGTTGAAATACAAGTCAAGAAAGACTTTGAGCCCCGAGATATGCATGGATAGGTTCTTATAGATGAGATAATGCGTTTTTTTCGTATCCACCATTAGATGAAATGGTTGTCGATGACGCCAGGTACAAATTCCGTAGAATAGAGGGAACATAACGACTTATGGTTACTTAAAGTTTAATTAACCATAAGTCATTATGTTCATATAACCATTAGTTTCTAAGTTATTTTCTGTTAAAATGTACCCTTAACTATCAAATACAGGCCGTCCAAAGTCTTTATAATAATGTAATCCCATCTATATAAAACGCGATACGTACAAAACACGTCCAAAGTGACAGAGTCCTCTAAAGTGGTGGCCGGGAACCATGGATTGGAAACGCGACACTCGAGCTGCCTCCCCTTGTCTTCACGACGTACACGCCACGTCAGTACACTTCTCGTAACCTCGCCCTCAACATCCACCTGTACAATTTTTTTTATTTTATAAAGTATTTTACACTTTTTTTATGCGAGAAGGTGGCTGGCGAGCTGACGGTTCACCTGATGTTGAGTAACGACCACCGCCCAAATGAATTGCAACACTCGCAGGCTTGCAGATGCGTCGCCAACTTATAATAAAGTGGGCCCCGGCTAGTGAGTGTGTCACCAGACGAAAATCATATAACACTTTCACTTCACGTCTTCTGTGAGGTCGTGGTGCTTACCCGGACGGACCTGCCCTTTCGTGCAACAGCGTGGCCCTACCACCGTTACCAAAAAGTATTTGAGTTTGAAGAATTTAGTTTTGGTTATAGTTATAGGTTTATGTTTCTTTAATTGTATATGAACTTCAATATCGCATTAGTAGTTTCTTTTAATGACAGTTGTTATTTGATGTATAAAAATAAAAAATAATACGTGGGGTATGTAGCCACGTAGAAATCTGAAAACGCACAATATATAAAATAACATTCGGAATAGTGTTCCACATTTATGCAAAAAATACTTCTATTGTTACCATCATCGAAACCCCACTCGGTAATAAATCAATAACTGAACAAGAGCGTCTGCATTGAATTGCAAATTGACGAAAGATCCCGTTTGCAAGCCCTCAAATAGCTCGACTATTAATGTCAGTCTAGACTGTATTTAGGGGTAAAAATTTACAACTAAACTTTAGCGCCTCTACGCTATAATTAACAAGAAAAATTAAACATTGTATCGGAAACGTGACGAGATTGCCTGCTATTTAATGAGATCAAATGAAAGATGTTTCCAAAAGACGAATTCTAAAAACACAAAACTTTGATACGTGTTCGTGAATATGCCTGGAGTGCCTTAAGCTTGTTTTTAATCAACTAACGAATGCATGCAAGCAGATTTAGTTACCTCAGTCAAAGCGGAATCGATGCGGCGCGAGTTAATGAACCAGTCGATGTTGGGCGCCGGCTTTGAGCCTCGAGTGGTGCAGACGAAAGATCGCTCGTGTCCCGCCCTAGTTGCTCCGTTGCCCGTGACACGGGCGAATTGTGGTTTCACTGCATTCGTTTGGAAATCAATCAATACCCACTAAAACTTGTATCTGATAACATTAAAGTAATGCACGAATAATAACTTCAATTTTGCAGAGTGTGTCTATTATTAATTTTGTGTACCCTTTTATGCGTGGTGGACAATATAGTATTCATTCATTCATTCACGAGTGGGTCCTCCCGGGGAATTACCACGATCTTACAGAGGACCGACGTGAATTGGTAATACTTTCGCATTCCGTCTGGTGTGTGAGGTAAACGGGGCCCACTTTTTATAAGCTCTTGGGTGTAGCATTTCCACGGGTAGTGTGATAATCACTTAATATCAGGTGAAACGCCTGTTCGCTTGAAGTTTTACATAGAAATCAAATAATGTGGGCAAAGTTGGCCATACCGCGCATAAACTATAAATGCGAACGTGTTTGAGAGTATTCGTTTCACCCCAGAACGAAAGAAAGGAAGCTTAGATGCGAAATGGCAAAATCACTGATATCCACATTTAATTATTGTTTTTTATTTCTTCTTTTCAAGAAAATAAGTAAATGATAGAATAAAAAAACGAACGATTCTCACCGCTCTGTGGGAATCGAACCCATGTATTCCGGATTCGCCCCCAGACGCTTTAACCAATACGCTGGTGATTGCCACATCGACGAAAACCTGAACGAGATCTATCTGCCTTGTTTTTTCGCATTTCAAGCAATGCTAACGTTATCTATTTTTATTTCCTTAACAGCATACAAACAATTTTGAATATCGTTTTTTCAACGATAGTTCGAAAGAGAGATGGTTATACACGAATTTCACATGGACAAACAAACAGATTCGCAACCGTTATCTTTGGATCACACATATACATGTCTCATGTGGGAACCGAACCCACGACCCCGACGTCGAAACCAATACTTTAGCAACTGCGCGACGGAGTCATCATTAAATAAATGATATTGTACTATTTAAATATTAACTCTAACTCTATGATCACGCACATGAGGTATGTTTTTTCTGATTAATTTAATTTTGATTCCTTTTATTACTTATTTCATCAACAATTCCTTTTGGTAAATTTCGGAGGTTCCCTGGAAAAAATTGCTGTGTAGCAATAAGGCCGCCTTTTGATGACTAATATTTGATAAAGATTTTGTTTTTTATTATTGGTGTACAATAAAGTATATTATTATTATTATTATAACATTAATAAATCCTTACAAAACAGTTTGATCGTGATATCCCTGTACTGTGCCTTCAGTAGCGGTGGTTCGACCCGACACTGTAGAATTGTGCCGGCAAATTCCCTTGAAAGCCTCTGCAGATGAAGCTGACAAACGGAGCCGCCTTTTGTAATTGCTAACCGCTCCTGGCCCCTGTACCAAGACACGTCTGGTGGTGGTCTCCCTGTCGCAAAACAAGACGTTTCATTATAAGACAGATTGTCACGGTTTTGCAATTTATATATCGTATTCTTCTTTCTCCATGTCGCAAAGGACGTTATAAGACAGATTGTTATGTTTTTACAAAATATACCTACTCGAATATACTTCTTTTCTTAGTTTATTAATATGCTTATTAATATGATTTACATGTGCATTTAAGTATAACATAAAATCATTCTTGATACTTCTCTTCTTGAACTTATCAAGCTATTTTAGAGTGTATTATATATTATAGTGAGTGTATAAATAGTAATAAGAATACCCTCGGTACAGAGGACGCCTTTGCCCAGCAGTGGGACATGTATAGGCTGTTACTTTAAATAGTAATCAAACATTCATTGAATGTTTTATTACTAGTTAATCAAACTCTTGAGGTCTATATGTAATATGTTATATTCATAATGTTTATTTACCTCCTGCTGCTTGGCAAGACAGTAATAAGTTCATCCCTTCACGGAAGGGTCCAGCCAACGAACCTGTTATCTCTTGACCGTCAGAATCATATATCCGAGGTGATTCTGGAGGAACTATAACAAGCAATACATACATATTAACGTCAGTTGTTATAAAAATTATGTTATTACTAAGATATAAATGAAGTCTACATTATTTTTCAAAACGAACCGATACACCACAGTATGCATGAAAGTGATAAAAAATAAAAAAATAAATAGATTAATTAGGAGCCTGGCGCTTGGGTTTGATTCCACCAGCGGCGAAAAACTTTTCGTTCTTTTTTTTACAAACTTAGATTAAACAGTACAAAACATCTATATTGATAAAAAGGCAATCGGTTCCACGACACGGGCGGTACAGCACTAGTTCTACACAATCGACACACACGGCCCTTCCCTAGTTCGAATGTCATGTCATGGTTGGACCGTACGCGCGCGAATTTGTGCAACCCCTGTTATGAAGAAAAGTAAATTAGGTTTTCGTTCTAATTATTGGGATAATAATACTCACCGATAACAGTCAAATTGACCTTATAATTTCTGGTCGGTGAATCGACATAGTCGATCCTGCACCGATAAATGCCCTCATCGTATCGCGCCACCTTCTCGACTGCAAGGTGCGCTGATGACGGATCAGATTCGTTGAGAACGAAATGACTGCGCGCCCCAAACTCCCCGGCAACCGCCCAATGAACGGGTGGTCCATTCCTGAAGTCCACTCTGAAAGTGAATGAATCACGTACCTTATTTTTTCGTAGAGAAAAAATTAACAAAGCTCCCTCAACTTATACATTTAGGCAATCTTACCGTAGAATTTTTTTAATATTGCTCTCTGAACTTAGGATTTAACATTAAAATTTGTAGGAAACGGCTTCAAATGCTAAAAAACAATCAAAATCAAAATCAAAAATATATTTATTCAAATAGACGCTTGCGCGCTCTAATGAATCGTCAAATTTTACATCAAAGATTATGTGTATAGGTTCGTAAGGTACCACCGGTTCGGAAAGCGGTTTCTGTTGAGAAGAGACCGGCAAGAAACTCAACAGTTGCTCTTTTTCAAAAATATCAGGGTACAATATAATATACAGGTATAATAGTCTTATTCTAGCCTACGTGAGTATCAACAGTATTAACTCCACACATTGGCGTCGTCGAGATATTCCGAAATGGTATAATATGCTTTAATCATCAGTTGATTTTTAATTTTACATTTAAATTGGTCAAGCGGCAGACTTAATATCGACTGTGGGATTTTATTATAAATGCGCACACTTTGCCCCATGAACGACCTATTTATTTTTGCAGACGAAACAATGTTGTAGTAAGTTTGTCCCTATTTCTAGTGTTTATTTTATGTCTGTCACTATTCTTTAGGTAATAATTAAGGTTATGTCGTATATACAAAACATTACAATAAATGTATTGAGATACAATGTAGATAAAAGACGTTAAGATTTTCTCAGGTGTGGCAATCAGCCGTTTAGCTTAGTGGCTAAAGCGTCAGGCCGCGAATGCCGAAGACGTGGGTTCGAAACCCACAGCGGCCACAATCTTTTCGTACTTTTCCACAAATTTTAATCTAACTGTAGTCGCAAGTCGTAGTAGCAAAGCACTTTACGGTAGTGTAAAGTGCTTTAAGATTTCATGAATATGTGAGAAAGTGGCAAAAGAGCTGGCGGTTCACGTGATGTTAAGTGATAACCGCCTGCCCATGGACATTTGCAACACCCGTAGGGTTGCAGATGCGTTGCCACCTCTTAAAAATGTGGGCCCCGGCTACCTCACTCACCAGACGTCACCGGTCTTCTGTGAGGTCGTGGTACTAACCCGGACGGACCTGCCCATTCGTGCAACAGCGAACACTGTTGCGTGAATACTTTACATTTTTGAAGAAAACTAATAATTTTCGGATATTTTCGCGTTTAATTTTCAATTTAAATGCCGGCATTTCAAACTCATTACACGGTGCATAATCAATTTAATGTTTAATGCAAAATTTAATGTTTTTTGTTTTACTTCTAGTTTTAAAATATGTGTTTCCTTTTTTTTAAATGAAATTATTTTATATTAAAACAACGACTTTTTAGTTGGCTTCTGTGGAGATCGATGAAACACGCAATATCAGTTGGCGTGTTCAATTCACCCTTGTGTTTTTAATTTTTAAACAGAGACTTTACATTACATTGAGATGACACTTCTGATGAGGATTCCACATTGTATTTCCACATTGTAACCACTCCACTTTTTGTCTTCTGTGGAGATCGAAACACAAACAATGTCAGTTACCGAAGCGAAGTTTTATGGTGGTAGGGCCACGCAGCAGGCGACTGTTGCACGATTGGGCAGGGTCGTCCGGGTAAGTACCACGACCTCACAGAAGACTGGCGTAAAGTGGAAGTATAACAAATACTTTCGCGTTTCGTCTGGTAAGTGAGGTAGCCGAAGCCCAATTTTCAAAAGGTTCTCAACGCATCTGTAAGCAAGGTGTAGCAGATATCCATGGGCGGCGGTATTCACTTAACATCAGGTGAATCGTAGGCTCGTTTGGCAACTTTTCACATAAAAAAAAGCCTCCGGCGATCTTTCTGGACCGTTACGCCTTCAAGAACCTTCAAGAAGGGAACCTTCAAGAAGAGAGCATACTCTTTTCTAAAAGGCCGGCAAAACATTTGTAAGCCCTCGGACGTTGCAGGTGTCCATGGGCGGCTACTACAGTGACTACTTACCATCAGGTGAACCTCCGGCTCGTTTGTCCATTTTCTCCATAAAAAAAGTAAACACTTAAAGTATTGTACGGTGTATCATAAAGTGTATAACAAAAAACGTTTGACAAAATCACTTTTATATTAGAACTATATAAGAACTATGACGTTAGCTGCGTTAGCCATTACCATTACCATAAGCAATTGAAGTACCAAAGTCTTATTGGAATAAACAACACAAATTGCTGAAAAATTGCCTAATGACCCTACCTCAGCATCTCGAATCGCTCGAATCCGCAGTGAGGCCACGTGGACTATGCTCTCTGAGAGAAATCCTTTGTACGACTGTGGGACTGCTCGGCTGTTATTTAACATTTTTAAGGTAAATTTGACGTTTATTGACTGAATGGTGTTTGATATTGATTTTGAACGATTGTGAAAAGGCAGAAAGTGTTGATGTTTTAGTTAATTTCAATAGCTACTTTGCTTTTAAGGGTTCCGTACCTTAAAAGGTAAAAAGGAACACTTATAAGATCACTCTCTTGTTCGTCTGTCTGTCCGTGTGTCACCGCCGGTTTTCTCAGGAATGGGTGGACCTAGTAAGTAGAAATTTATAGAAGGTACTGAGGTCTATTGTCCCTATTAGGTGTATAAATGTATAACCAAAATCGACAATTCTAGGTCAACCGACAACAGACAGAGAAAAACAACGACAGAAGATCTTGTATTTGCGATAGTGAAGTAATATGTCTCGTTAACGATTTTACGTATTCACGCTGTAGATTAAGAAATTCTGCAGCGGTGCCACGCGATGGTTATTAATTGCCAACCGCGCTGCAGACGACGTCCGACGTACATACGCGACGCCAGTGATGAATGAAACGCGCAAGCAAACGACGCAGTCCGTCTGAGCTGTCTCGACTACAGTTAATTGAGATACAACTTACATCGTTCGCATGATACTCGCTTAGGGCGAATTTTTAACCGCTGATGTTTACTTAGAGCAGTGAACACTAATAAATTATGGAAGATGTTGTTTTATTTTAATTTGACAAGTGATTGTTAATAAATAGCACCACAATTCTTTTTTTTTTATGTGAGAAGTTGTCAAACGAGCAGACGTTTTACCTGATGTTAAGTGAATACCGCCGCCCATAGACGTCTGCTGCACCCGAGGGTTTGCAGATACGTTGACAACCTTTTTGGAAATTGGGCTCCGGTTACCTCACTCACCAGGCGAAACGCGAAAGTATTTGTCATACTTCCACTTTACGCCGGTCTTCTGTGAGGTCGTGGTACTTACCCGGACGAGCCTGCCCATTCGTGCAACAGCCAAGGCTGCTGCGTGGCTCTACCACCGTTAATAATAATAATAATTGACAGTTACCACGCGCCATCATACAAAAGTATTTATTGTTAGCCCTAAGTCTACATCCCTAAAACTGCCCCGTGGTACGGTTTATAAGCACCGCGCCCCGAGGATTGAACTCAGGTTGCGGACGGTCAGACGGACAGCGCAGTCTTAGTATAGGGTCCCGTTTTACCCTTTGGGACGGAGCCCTAAAAAAGCGTGCGCCCGGACAATGAGCTGTCTGTGTATAAGTTAATAGTCATTAGAAATCCTGTCGATGTAAATCGTTAACAAAAATCATCGACTCACTTCGTAGAAAACCGATGCCAAGACCTCGGAACTCTCGTCTCCTGTTTCACATCAGAGATATCGGCTAGCTCTAACACTTCGTACATACTTCAAAAAGAGAGCGTACTCTTTCTTAAAAGGCCGGCAACGCATTTGTCAGCCCTCGGGTGTTGCAGGTGTCCATGGGCGGCGGTAATCACTTACCATCAGGTGAGCCTCCTGCTCGTTTGCCGCTTTTCTCCATAAAAAAAAAAAAAAAAAAAAATTTAATCCTTTTTAACCGAGTTTAACGAGGAGGAGGTTCTCAATTTTACTGTATTTTTTTTGTTTGTTGCTGAACTTATCTTAATTGTAGCTTAGTCACTAAGCCTTAGTGAATCGATTTTGATGATTCTTTTTTTATTTTAAAGCTGGTGCTTCCCATGTGGTCCCATATTTAATTTCATTGGTATTGGATATAGGGTTCCGGAGATACTTAGGGAAACTGTTAACATCAATTATAAAATGAATACAGAACGAGAAATTTGAAGTCAATTTGTTTTTTCACAAATAGTGCTTCAAAATTGATTGTAGAGAAAGTACGAAAAGATCGTCGCCGCTGTGGGAATCGAACCCACGTCTTCGGAATTCACTGACGCTTTAGCCACTAAGCTAAACGGCTGATTGCCACAACGTAAAAATTCTTCTTACGCGGAATTAGACCCAGTACGTGAGCCGTTGATCAGTCGAGAAAATTCGGCGATAAATCTATACAAATATTTCACTTTTGATTCGGCGCCTGGGGTCTGGATTGCTTCCAAAACGGAAGATGGGCGGAATCATTTGCCCAATTGCTTCCTTCCGTTGACTTAAAGAGTTGTTTCGAAAACGTGCGAGTCGATTTAGCAGAAGCCGCTGCAATACCGCAACGGCGGCTGCGGAATAACAGAAATTTCAGGAAAAGCGAGGTATTTTCAGCGTTTTTAGTTATCTCCAATGTTTTCAATTCATTTTCCCCTCGGCAATTATTGTTACGTTGATTGACTTCTATGGATGAATCCTATTAATATGAATGTTCGTTTATAGGGTTCCGTACCTTAAAAGTTAAAAAAACAGGAGCCTGTCACCACCGAACTGTTCTCAGGAAATTTTTATAATTTATACCAGATACTGAGGTCTATAGTCCCTATTAGGTGTATAAAAATCAAGGTCCTGGGCAACACGAAAAAAAGAAATGGGTAAAATGAGATTTTCGCGAAAACTTCAAGTACCAAAATTTATCTTAACTTTCAACTTTTTTTTAAATTTTTGGAATTTTCCCTTTACTTGTGCTACAAGATCTCGCTTTTACCCAAAATTGACAATTCTAGGTCAACTGGAAGTACCATATAGATTTTGGATCCATTATGATATAGTAGTTCCCGTTGATCTAGAATCACGAAATTTTCAATCCATTATGGCGGTACGGAGCCCTCGGCGTGCGAGTTCGACTCGCACATGACCGGTTTTTTTACACGGCAACTGCTGAACGAATTTGGTACATATTTTAGTTACTTCCATTTGGGTTTGGGGTATTTTCTTAAATGATGATTTTCTAAAATTTCATTGTTCGAGTGATCCATTTTCTGATAGATGACTTCCCAGAGTTCCTGGGGGTTCCAGAACCCCGACGCCGAAGCCAATACCTTGGCAACTGTGCCACGGAGTCATAAAATTGAAGTATTCAAGTAATCGACTTCAAAAATAATCTTGCACCGTAATCCCTGAAACGCAGTTAACTTTTTACAAAATACTTAGGTATAAATATTATTCAAATATGCAATACCAAAAATAAACACCATTTGGTTAATTAATCTCAAAGGAACGTTAATTATCACATTTTTTTTTTAAAACACATGCCACGTTATAGTGTCACGCAACAACTTTGGCTGTTGCACGAATGGGCAGGCATTTATCAGTAAAACTTTATTAAATGATCTGGGTATTAGCATAAAATAAATTGCCAAGAGGAGACATCCAAAAGCAGACCAAGACATACTTTTCTCTACAGATATGTACACCAGATACCTTATACATAATGCAAACAAAAGAAATGCATGTGCAACTGCTAGTAGTAATTAGTTCCGTAAAATTTAAGTGATTTAAAAACCGTAAAACTTGTACGCACTCGTAACGGAAAGCGATGTTCAGATTCACTGATTTGACGACCCGAATAGCGTAGTGGGTAGTGTACCTGCCTCCCGTGCCAGAGGGTGTGGGTTCGATCCCCACTACTGGAAAAATATTGTGTGATGATCATAGTGTTTTTCTAGTGTGTGGGTGTTTATATATGTATAATATGTATTTTTTTTTTCAAAATAAAAGTATGTTTAAGTATGTTTATCAGTTTTCTAGTACCCATAGTACAAGCTTTGCTTAGTTTGGGACTAGAGAATGTTGTGTGAAAATGTGGCCTAAAGTATTATTTAAGTAAGTATTTATCATGAAACTTCCTAAGACCTCATCTGAATTTAAATTTCGAATGGACATAGACAAATTATTTTAAATTGTTTATAGTGCTAATTTATGCATTTAACATATAACATTAAAATATGTAGAAAAAGTAAGTAAAAATTGTTTTTTGAACAATGTTAGTTTTTTGAACAGCCGTTTAGCTTGGTGTTTAAAAGCGTCGGGCCGCGAATGCTGTTTACTGAAGACGTGGGTTCGATTCTCACAGCGGCGACAATCTTTTCGTACTTTTTCTACGTATTATAATAGACAAAGTACGTCATAACCAGCAACAATCAGTCCGCCATCTCTAATGAAGTCAATCCGATATAATCTGTCTGATCTATTGATGCGCTATTGCGCGGCGCTTGCATCGCCGGACATTGTCACGAAATTATTAAGCCATTCAAACGCGGAACAATGGCCTTATTAAGCGATGCGGTGCCGATAAGGGTTTGCGTTTACTGCTACGCATTTATGGCGAAAGTAACAACACTAAATCCAAATTCTAGTATCGTGCATGGTTTCTTTAAATATTCATTAAATAGTCTTCTCTTACACGGTGGCCTTGAAGTTATTTGAAAACACATTAAATGAGACACTTCTTTTACACAATCTTCTTTTATAGGGTGCCTTGAAACGGTTTGGCAAACACATTAACTAAAATACCCTTAGAAATGAAACAAGAAAGCTAAATGTTTTACATTAATTTAATTGATAGTATGCATTTTTCACTCAAATTGTTTAATCAACAGCGCAGTCGTTTTACGGAAAAGTTTTAATATCTTAACAGAAAATTGAAATGGCCAAAGCTTTGTTGCACGCAATGGAAAATCGAAAAGCCTCGTCGCAATCAGTGATAATAATCCTACATATTTAAGTTTTCGTTTTTACTATAACTTGAGCGATTAAATTGTGTCGTCAAAACACAATTTTAAACATATCACACAAATAAAAATATATCAGTAACATAATATTTTCACTTTAAATGCCAAATTTATTATTTTCTTTTTTTTTTGTGGGTAAAGTTGCCAGGCGAGCAGGCGGTTTACCTGATGTTAAGTGAATACCGCTGGCCATGGACATCTGCTACACCCGAGGGTTGCAGATGCGTTGACAACAGCTTTTGAAAATTGGGCTCCGGCTACCTCACACCAGACGAAACGCGAAAGTATTATACTCCCACTTGACGGTCTTCGGTGAGGTCGTGGAACTTACCCGGACGACCGGAGATTTTTATACCAAAAAACGTTTAAAAATGAACTGCATCAAATTCAAAAAATTGTAAAGGAGCGTTTGTGTGTTAATGTCTATTATATTATTAGTGATTATTTCAATAATAACACACTCTGTAAATGAATTGATCGCTCCAGGCTCCCGCTGAGTTTCTTACGCCGGTTCTTCTCAGGTCAGTGGCTTTCCTTCCGAACCGGTGGTGGAGTTTTTTGACTTTCAATAAGTAAGTGTAATGCTTCTATATTGAATAAAGATATTTGACTTTGACTTTGACTCGAGCCTGCCCATTCGTGCAACAGCCGAGGCTGCTGCTTGGCCCTATCGTAAAGTTAAAAACCGCGGACTCACGTACACAAGTGCAGTGGTAAAATTTGTTTGTGTGATGGGTGATCTCTGAAGCTCTTCTTCTTACGTCTGCTCTCGTGTCGGCACGACAATAGATTTTTTGTTGTATTTACGCGATTACACTTTATAAATGGAACCAATTTTACGGATCTGGATAAATAAATATCTTTCAATCCTTCACAACACTTTTTTCCAATTAAAAATAGCCTTTTTCGTTTCTCAGGCTCTATCTGTGTATATTCGACTATGTGTGTACCAAATTTCATTTAAATCGGTAGTTTTGGAGTGAAAGCGAAACAGACAGACAGACAGAGTTACTTTCGCATTTATAATATTATATAGTGTACATAGTATGGATTTGAATACCTGACGATTCGATTCTTTTACAGAGTACACGGTCATGGGACACACTGTCCCATGAACATGACGCGATAAATCCGTAAAATTAGTTTCATTTATAATATGAGACATGTTGTTAAAGGTATTGGTTTTTTTACGACCATTTCTTTACTGCCCGACGTCAACCTTTCTTCGAGATAAATACCCAATGACCAATTATCTGTGCAAATAGCTGTCCCGTGTACCGAATCCACCATCCCTGTCACTGAAAACAATTCCATAACATCTGCGTCAATGAGAAATTAAAATAATAAAGAATTGACTACATTTTCTAACATAATTCGATGTACCAATGTTCGTATACATGAACAGAATACAAATTAGTAGATTGCCAATAAACGATGATAATTACGAGAATAATAAAATGCTAAATCTTTTGTTTCCCAAATTGTGGTCGTGAAATCTAATGTAACCTGGTCTAGTCATGCTGTGTGTAATTAATTAGTTAATTTCATAAAAATAGATTAAAGTAATCTGGATTAACAAAAACTCGCCGAGTACACTGACGCTGGTGAAGCGGATTTATTTATAGTCTGAATTAAAATAATCTCACCGGTCGAATGTATAAATCGGTTTTGCAATCAGATTAACGAAATAAAATTTGCGCTGTCCAACTGAAAGCTACATACGCAGATGGCTTTCATAATTTAATAAAGGTTAATACCCACGTCGAGAACGGAACAAAGCTTGTATGAAAACTGTAATTGAAATTAATGGATTAAGGGGGAAACAAAACGGCAATTATTGTTATTAAATACAAAGTAGAAAAAGTGTTAAAATCCAGCATGATATCCTAATCGATAAGAAAAAACAATGTAGGTAAAGTACGTTGAGAATTTCGTCAGTGTGGCAAAAACCAGCCGTTTAGCTTATTTGCTAGAGCGCCAGGGCGCGAATCGTTATGAAAGTTACGAAGCTATGTAACTAACGGCCGTTCGTTGAATATAGGAACCGCACATAAATGAAGTCATCATTGCTTACCGTACGCGACATGAGATATTATTACGACTTAAACCAGATAATGATAAAAAAATACAATTATTGGAACGAAGTTCCTTATCGCGCGTTGTGAAAGGGGGCTAGACGGAAAAAATTCACACGAAAAGTTGTAACGACACTTTTTGCTATAGTAAGCTATTGTAAGCTGTGCGGCGTGCGCATGTTTCTCTGTCTGTCTCTCTCTCTCTCTCTCTCTCTCTCTCTCTTATAGAAAGCAAGCCAGATATAATAAATTTAATAAATTATTTAATAATTTGCAAATAATTAAATTTCATATTTAAATTTAATCAAAGGAATTAAATATCAAACGAACTTCATTCCATCCAGGTGTCCCTTGACACCTCTCAATTTTTTTTTTATTTCATTACTCTTGAAATGTTGCTACATTTTGCGGACTAATAACCTTCTTAACTGATTACCAAACTAAAGTTTCTTGTGCATTTACCACGAAACTCACGTGTATATTGGCATCCTGTCGCCGTCTTTGAACCACAGCATCATTGCGACGTCTCTCGCCGGCGCCGCCAGGTCGCATGGTAAGCGGGTTGTGCCTCCGGGCGCCGACCACACTTGTATCACATCTGCGGAAAAGGAGAAGAGATTTTACTTTAATTTTATAACACTATATTGATTTTACTTTATTAAAACTACTTCTGACGTGAAATCTACTTCTAGCATCTGTAAGCTCAGGGAAGTATTGTTTAGATTTGTTTTTTATTTCAAAAGTTCCCAAGTGAGCACTCGATTCACCTGATGTTAAATCAATACCGACGCCCATGAACCTTTAAAAGGTAGGCCCCGCTTAGCTCCCTCACCAGACGAAACGCGAAAGTTTAATATTTACACTTCACACCGGTCTTCTGTGAGGCCGTGGTATTTCCCCGAACGAGGCTGCCCATTCATGCAACAGCAGAAGGTATCGCGTGGCCACACCACAGTTAATAACACCAGATAATATAAAATAAGTACCAGATTGCATAAAATTTTAAACTAAACGTAAAGTGCAAAACTGTACACAGTCTTCGTCATCGACTGCATAGTTCACGACCAGAACTAGCTTACTTCTATCTACTTAACAGTTTATTCAAGACTGCTATTCATCGAAACACTAATCTCCATCAGCGGAATGTAGACATCAGATGATATTAATCTCGTTTAAGTGGTCACATGAGAGAAGCGGAGCCGAGGCGCGAAAGCGATTCAATTCGCGCATCTAATTGATGCGCGTAAACAAAAACCGCTCGGTGGGCACGTTATGGCGATAGCCAATTAAGTTAATCAAAAACGATGCGTATTCATTAGCCGGCATGCCGGGCGCGGTCGTCCGTCAGCGGGCAAAAATGTTGAAATATTAAACAGCGGAGGGGTACGGGCTGATGGGAGAGACGCGGCGACAGATGTTCACGGACGCTTCTAGAGTTTATCCGTTTTATTGTGACGCGACAGCGTCCCCAAAATGTTTTTATTAGTCAAATGTGATATATATTCGAAGTCGATCAACAGTGAGATACATAAGCATATTGATTGTATCGTTAAGATATATTATCATTAAGACCTACGTCTGATTGAGCACATTCTGAACGCGTTAGAGGCACTACTTTTCTTTACTTCTGTAACTGAGGAGTTGCGGTAGAAGAGCGATGATGTCACATCTTGACACTTTCTCCATCTTTCACAATTGGGTGGGACTGCACCGTCGATGGGACAAATAAAGGGACTGAAGGGGAGAGGAATATAATCAGCTACTAGTAGCGAACTTGGAGAAGTTCATCGATTTCCCAATGACATTACTTAAGTAGGAAATTAAGGCAGCCGGCGCTCATGGGCCCGACAATACGCGATATAGGTGGAACATCGTGGTGGTTTTCTGCGGTGCAAGTTTGGCACAACCTCCTTGACAGAATCCCCAGTGGTCGAAAGCAAAAAAAAACTTGAGAAAGTCGAATTAAAAAGTTATGATGTAAACAGCAATTTTATTTTGTCTTCTTTAGTTTTCAAATATTTCATTGTAGGGCGTCATAAAAAGCGGTCATTTTCTGTAAAGGAAATAATCTAGACGATGCTAAAACAGCTTTAAAAATTTAGTGTAAGTAAGCAGATAAAATAAGTAACAAATATGCATGAAGATACATCGTTTAGCTCATTGGCCAGAGTGTATGGCGTGTATCCTGGAGGACGTAGATTAAAATCCGTGTCACGGCGTAAAATTTTTCGTTTTTCTACAAAGTTTTGATCAATCGATTTCTCGATCGATCGATTTACATCTGTGTAAGTGCAGAGAGCAGCACTACAAAAATAATATCCTTTCAAAGAGTAGAATGTTTCTTTACACTATTTCCGTTATATATTTCTTATGCAAGTTTAACTGTTGGTTTGGTCCTAGCTCCCTTTTATTTTACACCGCGAACAATATTTCTTTGACTCTCCTTAAGCGGTCCATTCAGGGAGCTTTTGACCCGAGTACAATCGAGTGACCTCGGGACCTCATTCAGCTTTGTACAGGCCGCAGTGGAACTTGACTCGGATTCAATAAACCGACAGTCGTTTCTGCTGCACTGGAGCAGAATGTTTCAATGGCCTGTACCAGCTTTGCATTGATCTTTTTTGTCTGAAAACTCGTTTTGTTTACGCTTGACGCTTGTTACGCTCTGTATAGACGTTTGAAAAGACTCTACCAACAATAGTCGTTTACTTCATGTTTCAACGTAGAAAAAACTGGAAAAGCCCGAGCCGAAGCTCGAAGAAAATTAAAACCTATTTTAAAAGCGACTAGTCGAGACTGTCACTTTTATCGCCAATGATTTTAATTATAACAGTTGCTTTTTTTGTTAAAGGAAAACTGTTATAGGAAAGCCGTTTTTAAAAAGTCGAGTGACTTTTTTTTTTATTTACTTGTATATCTTTCTCTCTTATTTTTCATATTTATATTGTCTTCACGAATCTACACATTTATATGCACTAACTACTATAAAATTTTTGAAATAGTTAAGTAATTTTACTACAAGACTAGCATCGTATTTTTAATTACGTTACTTAAAATCTTCTTCAATAAGGTATTACTACTAAATAATAACTTAAAATATTTAAGGATAATGATCATTTATTATGACTCCAAATATAATTTGTAAAAATATTATACGTAATACAATATTATTTCGATGACTTCGTGGCGCAGTCGCCAAGGTATTGGCTTCGGCGTCGGGGGTCGTGGGTTCGATTCCCGCACGGGACAACTATTTGTGCGACCCACAGATAGTTGTTTCGCATCTGGGTGTTTGTCCACTGAAATTTATATATGCTAAACGGCAAAACGGCAAAAAAACGGTAAGGGAAATGTTTAATAAAAAAAAACTAACAAATTTATAATAAATTCAAATAAGTATTTCCGTAAATAAAGATTGACTTAAATAGTAAATTATGCTACAAAGAGCCTTCCTAGAAATCGGTGACTAAAATTGTTCAATTGAGGACAATTGCATACGTCATCACCCAAACTCAAATTTATCCGGTTACGACGAATAATGACGAATCAAAAAATTTGTCACACGATCATTTTATACGGAACCAATTAAGAGCAGAAACAAAACTGTTCCTGATATGAGTGTATAGCCTTAACGAGTCAATGTTTATTGAAATTCTCACACAGATATTGGCGTTTAAATTTTGAAATACAGTATTAAATTATCATTACATTTAAACATCGAGCTGACGTCGAATCGCCGTGAGATTTTCGACAAACTGTATGGCAAAAATGACGCTTATTGTGCTGAAAATAAATATAGGATCAAAGCAGTGGTTACTACATAAAACCGGCCAAGTGCGAGTCGGACTCACGCAAGAAGGGTTCCGTACATCTATTAAAACGGCCTAAAATTATGTCTGTTGTATGGGAGTACCACTGAAATATTTTTTATTCTAATATAGAATAAAGCCCTCTTAAATATTTTTTTATACTATTTTTTAGTATCTGTTGTTATAGTGGCAACAAAAATACGTCACCTGTGAAAATTTCAACTGTCTAACTGTCACGGTTAGTGAGATACAGCCTGCTGACACATGGACAGACAGAGAGTGGAGTCTTCGTAATAGCGTCCCATTTTACACTTTGGCTACGGAACCCTAAAAATTATAAGAATGAGTACACGATCGTTAAGAATGGTTTCCGTGTTAGACTTTTTTGCAACCAAAAACTTTTTTGTGTTGGAAAAAGGCAACGTGCTCTTACGCACGCGTCTACACAGACGCACAAGACCCAATGCGTCAGTACAAATGAGCACTTATACGCTGTACCAACAAACAATTCAAAATATTATTCGTGCTATAACACATATCCGTCGACTTCAAAGCGCCGGCGCCTCGCCTGCCAACCAGATGTTGCATACGTCGGGGTGCTCTTCGTAGAATTCCATTCGTTATAAAATCACTGCCTTCTGACCGTCTCAAACCAACAATGCTCGGCTTCCCGTTCAAAGACTGACAAAGGGAAGCTTATGACCGCCGCATTGCATTTATATTTTCGATATTACTTCCGGAATCTATTCATCTTTAGTGCGGCAAAGGGTTTCTGATCAAAACAAACAAATGTCACTGTACGTATCATTATAGTAGTATTTTTTTTATTTTAAGCGAAAAGTTGTCAAACGAGCAGACGGTTCACCTGATGTTAAGTGAATACCGCCGCCCATTGACTTCTGCCACACCCGAGGGTTACAGATGCGTTGACGACCTTTTGACAATTGGGCTCCGGCTACCTCACTCACCAGAAGAAACGCGAAAGTATTTGTCATACTTCCACTTTACGCTGGTCTTCTGTGAGGTCGTGGTACTTACGCGGACGAGCCTGCTCATTCGTGCAACAGCCGAGGCTGCAGCGTGGCCCTACCACCGTTGAACCTGGAGGACCATGCTTTTCTCAGTTTTTTTTTTGATAAATCGTGTATTTTGCACATTAAAAAAATAAACAATAAAGAAAGCAATGATCTGTTATAGAAAAAGAAGTAAAAAAAATAAGTGTGTAAACGACCGTGACACGAACCACGGCCTTCTGTTTCGGGGCCGCCCGATTATCGACCGAGCTATAATATTTTTCATTCCCTGAAAACAGGGATAAAAAACATTTTCTAAAAATGAAACCTAGCTATATCGATGTTTCGCCCCCGAATCCACGCACATACTAAATGTCATGAAAATCGCTGGAGTCGTTTCTGAGATTCCGATTATATATATGCAAGAACTGCTCGTTTATATCATTACTCGTTTAAAGGTATAAGATATAGTATAAACAAAGCCGTCCCACTGTCCGTCAGTCCTTATATATGCTTAGATCTTCAAAACTACGCAACGAATCTTGATGCCGTTTTTTTTACTAGATAGAGCGATTCAAGAGGAAGGTTTATATGTATAGTACACTGCACGCGTGCGAAGCCGCGGCGGGTCGCTAGTTTGATAATAAAACTATTACTTATTTTGTCTCAACTGGATAGAAATGGCTAATTCTAGTTTTGATCCCAGTTATTTTAATCCAACTGAGAAGTATTTTTATTAAAGATGTGTGAAAAACGGGACAGGGCAAAATTGCATA